ATATATATTTTTAATGGGTTAACGGATTATCCGTTAAGAAAATTGAATAATTCGCTTCCAAATCGATAAGTCGTTAATAAAAAAAATTCAATTCGTTCCTCGTCCGTTAAGCTGTTAACCTGTTACCAGTCGGCCATTAAAATTTGAGAAGGTGAATAATGCTAATTTTACATAATTATGGCCATAAAAAATCTCCATATTCCAAGGTCGAAAAACGCCTCACGAAAATTTAGTTTAAGAAGAAGAAAAAAGGATTAGTCCTTATCATTTTGTTTATTCCTAGTAAATATCGCACGGTTCAAAAGCATATCTTGGAAAAGGTAGGTTAAAATAGAAAAGAAGAAAAAGACTTGGTCCTTATCTTATTGTCGTCCTAGCTATCACGTTGTATCCCATGATAAACTGCTATGCTGGAATATTTTTAGGGGAAATTACGCGACATAATAAATATATATAAATTATTTATTATTTACAATTATATTTTTAGAAAATTAATATTTGTAGTTATATTTATAGATAATTCACCAATAGTACTAAAATAAAAAATTAATTATTTTTAACTGAAATAAGAGAACAACAAACTCTTATAGTAAGTAGATTAGACCACTAGCTTATATAAGAGAAGATCTTTAGTTCCAGGCTCAACGAGAACATTATATTTTTTTTTTTGTATATCTGTATTTTATCTTGATTTTATTCGTGTCACAAATGAACAATATCAAGACGAATACAGTTGATAAAAGTTGGATCATTTGTATATATTCCTGTATTTTGCTTTAGTGTATTTTTGTATGAACGAATACAGTTGATATAGGTTGTATTCCTTGCGCAAACAAATATAGTTGACACATACTGTATTCGTTGCGCAAACGAATATAAGTGATACAAGCTGGTAACAATTGAATAGTAGCTACAAATAGTAATTAGACAAACTACTGTATGCTTGCATATAAAACTTTTAAAATAAAATACAATTACATCGAGGGTGTATTTGGTAAAACGGAAAATGTTTTGCGTGGAAAACAAGTAGTAATCTTATTCATTTTTCGGTGTTTGGTATGCAAATTAAGGAAAATAACTTCTCAAGAGTATTCATAAATAATTTAGATATAATAAACATGAAGTTATAAACTTTCAAATCAACAACCTTCTGAACCCACAAATTTCATAAAATTTTGAACCGCTAAACTTTCGAAACCGCGGAATTTCGAACTCGTAAACTTTGAAACTTGTAAAATTTTGAACCTTTNGGAGAGAGGGGGTGGGGCGGGTTGGTGAGGGTGGGAAGGTTAAAAAGGAGTTTTGGAAAATATTTTCTCTCTCTTGATAAGGAAAATATTTTTCTCCAATTGAAGAAAAATAAATTCATAAGGAAAATATTTTCCACAATATTTAAGCCAATCAAATATAAAAAATTAAAAAATATGTTCCTTCGTAACAAACACACCCTCACTTCCTTCCCGAAATAGTCAATGGAGTAATCATCTTTCTAGGGGAAAAAATGGAACATATAATTAACTTCTTTTCTATATAATCATGGTTCTCGAGGCAACTCGCACATTTCAATTAGTTTCACTAATTATCTGCTGCCTTCCATCAACACCAGCATAATATAGCCAGACTTGAGTGAAATTCAAATATAGCCAGATTTACAAATGGTAATAGAAAATAATCACAGTTTCAAAATTAATCAAAATTTAGCCACTTTTAATATAAAGATAAATCTGAACGAAAACAATGTTTCAAATCCGAAAAATATTCCAGCATAATATACTGTAGTTTGAATTTTTTACATGTGAACTTCCAGCATAATATATTAGAGTTCCATCATAATATACTGGAGTTCCAACATAAAGTACTGAAAGTTCATACATAGGTGCTCCAATCTCTGGTTTATTATGCTAGAACTTTCCGTGTACTGGAGTTCCAGTATAATATACTTGAAGTTCATACACAGATGCTCAAATCTCCAGTGTATTATGCTGAAAGTTCATACACATGTGTCTCAATCTCCAGTATATTATGCTGGAACTTTCCATATGCTGGAGTTTCAGCATAATATGCTGAAAGTTTATACACTAGTGTACCAATTTCTAGTATATTATGCTGGAATTTTTCGTATTACAGTAAAATAATAACTATTTTTTAATGATTTTACAAATGATGTCTATTTTTTAATTATCAATCCGAAAACTGGCCAGGAATCTATTTTCACTCTAGAATTTGATATTCTTAGGACTCTCCTCCACCTCCCAATGTATTTCCTCAAAATATTCAATGCATTGGTCTTTATCACCACCAGTCACCATTACTCCTTCACAACCATCCAAATTTTCTATCTTCATATTCATTTGGGTGGTCACTATTGATGGTGAGAAATTCTAAGGATTCCCAATTTTGTTTGTTTTATTCTGCACATTTATATAAAAACCCTTTTTTACTTTTGGTGGGGCCCTTTTTTCTGCTCTTTTTATTCTCTACAAACCAAACACTCCTCAGTTTCCTCTTCATATTCCTCTGTTTCTCTTTCTCTCCTCTTTTGTCTTCAGTTTTTTTTGGTATTTTCGTGATTTTATAGAAACAATGGGGGCTGAAGAGGCAGAGAAAAAGACCATCATCTTCACCTACGGAACACTAAAAAGGGGATTCTCAAATCACGTGCTGTTACAGGACATGATTGCCGCCGGCGACGCTTCTTTTCTCGGCGTTTATCAAACCGCCGATCGTCTTCCCCTTGTTTGTGGGCCCTACAGGGTACCTTTCCTTCTCAATTTCCCGGGCTCCGGCGAGCGCGTGTGGGGCGAGCTGTACGCGGTTTCCGCGCGTGGGTTGGTTCGTATGGACGAACTGGAAGGAATTACTCGGGCCCATTACGAGAGGCTACCCATCAAAGTCCAACAACAGGCCCAGGCCCAGCCCGAGGTAACGACGGCGGAAGCGTATTATGCACACAGAAATTATGCGGAGGCGCTGTGGAAGAGGAATGGGGAAAAGGGTTACAGTTGTTATTCTGAGAAAGAGGCGAAAGGGTACGTGAAACGTAAAGATAGGCCTCAACATTTGACATTTTTGGAGCAAATTGGGCTTTTTATTTCTTCATCAGCAGATCAAAAAGATAATCCCAATTCTTGTTATTGCAACAAACATCTTCCAGCTGCTTCAGTTCCTATTAATCTTGTTAATCATTAAAACATGTATTAGTATTAGTTTTTAGTTTTAATTAGGAACTGATAAGGGTTAATCTTGTTTTATGTGCTACTGCTAATAATTGTTAGATCAATAGCTGTTGATGCTAAACGTGTTACAGAATCCTCTTCTGTTTCTGTGCTATGCAAATGATTTGAGTTAATTGAACCATGAATTCGTTTGCTGCATATGAAGCGACAATTTACTAGCTCTTTGTTATGACTTTTTTCTTATAACGGTTAATCATCTGCATCTACAATTCAATTATATGGAAATGGGTGTATGAATTTCAGGAGATATGGTAGGATACTCCTTTCTCTCCATAATAACTGTTGACTTTTTACGTGGAATTAATTTCTAAACTTTGCCCTTGTTTACAAATTTCAGTATGTAAGTTAATAATATGCTAATTTTAATTAAGAGTAATTTAGTTTTCTACAAGTTAGTATTTTTTTAAGGTGTTTGCCAAAAACAAAATAAATCACTTATTATGGATCGAGTAGCTCATAATAAAACTGACGATTGGTAGGATGTATTAGGGAAAATAATGCATGTGTAGTTTTGGTATTATTAAATACTTTGCTTGATAGTGTTTTTCAACCTATAGTTATACGCCTTATTCAACATTATTTTTATACATAACAAATCATGGCATTAGTATCATAATTTTTAATACATAGATAAGTATGTATAAAAAGAGAATCGTTCTTTCAAAACCTTTTAATACACCAAATCAACTAATTCTAACATAATTAATCTTAACATTACGAATCTCAACATTACTAATGCACTATATTTAATAATACTAGTCTAAGGATACGCGCGTTGCGCGTGTACCCCATCTCAGTGAGTATAAAAAAATTAAAAATTATATAAAAATATATTATAAAATAAAAATTTAAAGAACTCCGTGTAAGTTTTCGAAATGATGATTGTTGACCGTTGATTATATTAAGCTAACTTAATATAATCAAGAAAAAAACTATACCATAGAACTTCTCAATCATCACAATACAAAATGAAAAGGACAAGAATATGAGAAAATAAATTTTTCTACCATCAATGATACCTTTAACCAAACACCCTAATGTTGAATACTGGTTATTCCTAAATATATTTGTTACATGAAGGTGTAAGACGCAAGAAAAAGTAAATCACATTTTCTCTACACAAAAATTTGGAGAAAGAACAAAGACAGAAGAGGACACATTGACTTATTTTATTCTCCATTAAAATAAACACATAGATCCATCTTTTAAAGGTGTAAAAAAAAAAAAAAAAAAAAAAAAAAAAAAAAAAAAAAAAAAAAAAAAAAAAAAAAAACAAAATGTATTTCGCTAAGAGCCATCCTATTCAATGAATGTAAAATTTATAAATATTACTCTTTCTTTTCAATTTAGATGATATAGTTTGACTTGACACAAAATTTAAAGAAGAAAAAAAAATTGAAATATATGGTTCTAAAAGCTTAAGGGGCAAAAGCTGTGTGGAGCCATAATATTTGTGTGGTTATAAAAGTTTTTCAATAAGAGTAAAGTAGGTCAAATGAAAAGTTCAAAGTTGAATTGTTTCTAAATACAGAAATGTGTCATTATTTTCGGAACAGACTAATAAGAAAATTGTGTCACTTTAATTGAAATGAAGGGAGTATTAAATAATTTATTTGAGTTATATGATAAAAGTTTAATAATTTTTTTTAAATTGTCAAATATTAATTATAAAAAGACAGCAAAGTAGGGAATGATGTTGCTAAGCATGAAAACAATCTAGATAATTTTGAAAGCTCAGAACGTCGTACAAAACGAAGTTGAGTATTCTAAACAGATCAGCTATAAAAAAAATAGCGACAAACCAAATTTGTAGCTAAATAGTAAAAATTTGTCGCTAATTACATATTATCAAAAAAATTCTATTTGTTTTGAGATGATTTTATTTTTAACACAATGAATTAACAACGAGATTCTTTCTACAATAAATAAAATTTCGATTGTATAGGGTTAAGTTCTTGGAAACATAAAGTGAAAATTCACAATTAACTTCAAAAATTTAAATATTAGTCTATCTAAGATTTGTGAAAACTTCAGTGTTTAAATATCATGTCACCTTTTGTGATGCATGAAAGAGTACAGTTTATGCAGGGAAAGAAAAAGAAGTAGTCCTAAATATTAGGTCTTCTAACAAAAAAAATTTAGGTATCGTGAAAATAAATAAATAAAACTTAAAATAATTCTAAGTAATAGCTAAAACTCAATTTAGCGATCCAATAACTTTGCTACAACCGTCCAAATTAATAAGTGAAATTTTCAAATAATCCCAAGTAATAATTAGCCTGATGTCTGTTTAGAGTCTTAAATTGTATTCAAATAAGGAAAGAATATAAGCAAAATCTTAAGTCCTAAATATAGGAAATAATTAATGCCCAAAATTTTAGGAAAATAACTTAAATTATAATTTTATCCAATGTAAAATTTATTTTTAAAGGGTAAAAAAGGCGAATGATATTTCGCTAAGGGCCTTCGTGCTTTTAATATAGTACTAGTCTTTGAGTACGCGCTTTGCGCGTGTAACCTGTCTCAATGAATTATATGCTTGTTATAGTAAAAATTATATTTGAGTTACAAAAATAAAATTTTACAAAAAAAAAATAATTCTTGAGAATAATAATAGTTGATCTAATTTAGCCAATTACTCAAGGAAAAAAGAAAAATTCTACCTTATAGAGATTCTCAATCATGCATCTCAATTACTATATTCAATTTAATATTTCTCCCAATTTTATAATTTTATTACTTCAATCTTACTTTTTTTTTAGTTTCAATAAGAACATATAACCTTTGGAGATTTAAGAGTTAACTAAAAGAAATTGAAAAGTTATACATTCTCAAGTTCATTCTAGAAGACACGAGTTAACTGACATAAGAGGTTTATTCAAACTGTTTTTCTTTTCTTAACCAATAAAAGATATTGTAGAAATTATTTTCTAACATATTTAAAAAAAATCACTATCACAAAATAACATCCATTAATCAACTCTTTCTTTTCTCTGGAGAGCTTTCTTTCCTCATCCATAACCATGGATCTAGATTCTATATCTGAATGCATCATATGTTATCTTTTATATTTACCAAGTTTTATGGACAATAAAATATTACTATCTTTTATCATCTCCTGGTTGCTATGGCTCGATCACTTCCTTTTTCACTAAGCGATTGCTTAGGGATCTTAGCGTACGATTTGAGCTGTTTTTCTTTCGACTTTGGATTTTTAGCACCCAAAAAGTCTGTCTGTAAAAACAATCTAGGCATGTATTTGGAGTTTTCATGGGGTTGGTAAGGCGAAATGAGGCTATCCTTTCGTCCATAGCTGTGCATTGGTCCTTTATGTCAGCTAGCATAATATAAAAAATAAATTTCTATATATTCTAATAACGCTTATAGCTTCTTACACATTAAACAAAATAAGTATAAAAATATACAAAATCGGCTTATGGAAGTAGAAGATAAACTTATTGTATATATTCATGTATGTATAAGGAATAACATAAATAAAAGATACAATAGAATAATACTATATTCTTTATTTTATTTTTAACTAAATAGTAAATAGAATAGAAAAGGATATGGAGACTTTTTGTTCAGGTAACTCAGTATAGGTATACACATTTTTTATGCACAATTAAAAAAAACTATAGACCTTTTTTCTAGAATTTAAATATATTATGAAAAAGTTTCATATTTAACGTTATATTTTTAAAAGGAGTTGATGAAAAATATATTATATGCAAGAATAATTTCCCCCAAAGTAAAAATAAGACGTAAGATATTAAAAATTTAAATTAAAAAAATGATATAAGGAAAAGATAGATTTAATGGTGGAATTTAAATGGGAATCAACCTTTATATAAACCAAACCTAAACTTTATATAAAACAAATATAGACGTAAGAAATCTAACGAAAACAAATTAATTATGAAGTAAATAAGGAAAGAATTTACTTAAGTAAAATCTTATTTGGTTTTAAATTCTTAAATGTTAGGTCCTAATACTTTTTACCTAGTTGAATAAGAAAATATTTAATAGTCAAAATTTTAGTTGATTTTAAAGTGCTAGATATTAGGAAAATTAATTAAATTACAATTTTATCTAACGTGAAACCTATTTTTAAAGGGTAAAACAACGAACGAACATTTTACTAAAGGCATTCGTGATTTTAATATAGTATATATATATATATAGATTCTTATATGCCAAATCAAATGACCCCTTATTATTCGGATAATGGAGAGCAAATACATGATTTAAGGTACAGGACGTTGGAACTCAATCTATGCGTTATTACCTATCTTCTCGTGTTTGAATCTTGACTTTGCTTTTGACCTAGTGATTTTTCCCTATATATCATGATTTTCTTCTAAGGATTTGATAGGATGATTGAGATCTTTCCGCCTTAATAAATATTTTGAGAAATTCTTAGTGCGGTCCTTAATATTTATTAATTAACAATTTAACACCCATGGTTATTCTCTCAAGAGCCAATTAATGATATGAATAAACAATGCTACACCTTCATTAATTTAACCTTATAGGGGTCTGTCTCTTCATGTGTTGTATGTTTTTTTTTCTTTCTTTTTCTGTGGTTTACTGACTCTCTGATTCTTTTTTTTGTTAGTACATCAGCATTACTATTCTTTAACTATTTATGTAAGTAATTATGAGTATGACATATTTGCATGCACAAGACAAGAGGGGCGAAATTCAACAGGCACCAACTCGTACAAATAAACCTTCTTATACTGATAATTAATTAATTACATTAATGTTAAAAGAATAGTGGCATCACATACAGTGGAAAAGATTCAAGAAGAATCAATATATATCTTAAGATGCATTTTAGTTTAGACTCGACCCTTAAAATGATGATGAAACTTTGGATGAATATGTGTGTATTTTATTAGTAATAAGGGAATAGTTTATTTAATTCAAACAAAACAAGCATGGAAGAGACAATACAATGATGTCATGCCTTGATGGAATCCACGCATATTGCATTAATGCTACAACAATAATAAAGTCTTCATCACAAATATTAAAATCACATTTATATGAATTTTCACTGTTTACGTTGCTTCATGCTTGAACTAAGTAGAAACTATTTTCATTTATTAATAACCAAGCTGCTCTTAACAGGT